GGGGGGGGGGGGGGGGGGGCAGGGAGGTTTATTGTCTGCCCATGAACCGGAAAATACTGGTACATTTAATGTGGAAGGCTGTTCTCACAGGACTAATAAATGTGCTCTTAATTAAAAGGTAAGTATATTTGAGTAGCTGGACTTTGGAATTTTGTTTTTTTTACTGTACTAGGTGAAGATACTTTATTGGTTTTCTGTCTCTCACCCTAGGCGTGCAATGGAACTGAGTTTTGCTCTTGTTAATGGGAACAATGTCCGTGGAATGATGAAGGAGTTGCTGTATTTCCTAGATTCCTGTGAACCAGAGTTCAAGGCAGACTGTGCATCTGGAATATTTCTTGCAGCTGAAAAGTATGGAGTCAATTTACTTGCTATTAATTTTTTGTACATCCTGAGAAATATGAAAATTTTGTGTGGTGTTCCTCTCCTTCCTCACCCTGCAAGGGGGAATATATTGATCATCTCTTCTCCATTTACTGATCTGTGTGTAGTTTGGCAGTTTTAATTCACTCTGAAGAACAGGAGACAGTAATGCCTTGGGACACACTAGTGTGTCCCATATGGATAGTCCTCATATCACTAAACCAGTCAAGGATATTGATTCCTGCTGCTCTTTGGAACAGGTGTTGTGTTGACATCCTGCCCCCATGCACACACACAGACTCTCTCTGGTTAGTTGTACAGGTGAGATGATCTCATTACTGTTGAGCCGTTGTGATCAACAGCCTGACTTTGGAGTATTGTATATGCAGGGTATGGCTGTGCTAGCTTATGCAAACTTGTATATTCATTCAGCTTTCCAATGTCAGCATTAATACCAAAAAATCAAAGAAGGTGTGTGGTGTTTTGTTGGTGTGTCCGTCCCCTCAGAAGGCCACAGGCCAGGGAGTAACTGAATGGGGAGGTTCTGATGATGATGGTTTCTTGCTGGTGTGAAGGCTAGCAGTTAGTGCCCTAACTTGTTTTCTTAATTTTGTCAGATATGCTCCTTCCAAACGCTGGCACATAGACACAATTATGAGAGTCTTAACAACCGTAAGTAAAATTTCCTCTCTTGTATCTGACTGTAAATTTTTTTTCTTAATTCTGTAGGAAGTCACTCATCATCGAGTTGGAGATGGCTATAAAGGCAGATAACAAATGCTACAGAGGAAGTGTACTTCCATGTAGTGACCCAAGGCAGCCAGTCAGAAATATGTAAACTCAGTAAATATGACTGAGTGTGCTTTTAGAAATGTATGACATCAGAAATGCACAAGAATGTAGGGTATAGCAAGTTTTTTGATGTGTAATCACATTAGATTCTAGGTTGGGACAGCTCTTGTGCTGCCTGTGGTTGCAATATTCAGTGCTCTCAGGGGAGAGTGAGCACAGCCTTAAGTGACTTGCAAGGAGAAAGGGGCTGAAACCATTTCTTGGAATTATTCCAAGTTGAGATTATCAAAGCTTTTTAGTGAAACTATATCAACAGCCTTCTAGTTCCTCTTCCTTGGGTTTAATTATTACTCTTTACCTACATGAATTTCTTTATAAACGTCACAGCTGAGTTGGAACTGGAGTAGCATTTTGGCAAACGAGGGAAGAGATCTTGATAACTTGGGTAGGCAGTGTGTTCCCTGAGACAAAGGAGTGAGAAGAGATTTATTTTATCAGTATGAGTGTTCAAATTTGAGAAGTTCATCAAGAAGCGAGTCTGGCTTGTGTGTTATTTTGCCACCCTGAAACAGAGAAAAGTGGAATTGTCTGAACTGAGAATTGATTTCCATTAGAAGGTTGGCTGTGAGAATTGCTCTCAGATTACTTCCTTTAATAAAAAGTAAGTTCCTCCTCTTGGCTGCTAGAGAAACCATTTATAAAGTTGTATTCATGAGACTGCTTACTGCAGACTCTTACAGATAAACATCATTTTCAGTTTATGAGACTTACGAGAACTAACACAGGAAGACAGCATCAGTCATTGTGGTGTGCTGACCCTTGCTGGACGCTGAGTGCCCCCAGAGCTGCTCTGTCACTGCCCTCCTCAGCTGGGCAGAGGCAGAAAAATGCCACCAAAGGCTGGTGAGTGGAGATGAGGACAGGGAGAGATCATTCACCAGCCACCATCGCAGGCAAAACAGACTCGACTTGGGGAAATCAATTTATTACCAGTCAAATCAGAGGAGGATAACGAGAAATAAAAGCTCAATTTTGAAACACTTTTCCCCCACCCCTCCCTTCTTCTCGGGCTCAGCTTCACTCCCAAGTTCTCTCCCTCCTCCCCTGCAGCGGGGCAGGGATGGGGGTGCGCTCAGTCCATCACCCCTTTTTCTGCTGCTCCTTCCTCCTCGAGGCAGGACTCCTCACGCTCCTCCCCGGCTCCAGCCTGGGCTCCCTCCCACGGGAGACAGTCCTCTACGAACTTCTCCCACTGGGTCCCTCCCACGGACTCCAGCTCTTCCCCAGCTGCCCCAGCGTGGGTCCCCCACGGGGTCACCAGTCCCACCAGCAAACCTGCTCCAGCCTGGGCTCCTCTGCATGGGGCCGCAGCTCTGCCAGGAGCCTGCTCCAGCACGGGCTTCCCGCGGGGTCACGGGCTCCTTCGGGCACATTCCCCCTGCTCCAGCATGGGGTCCCCCTGGGATGCGGGTGGAACCTGCTCCCCCGGTGCCCTCCCTGGGTCAGGGCACAGCTGCCTCCCCAGGGGCTGTGGGGAACCTCTGCTCGGTGCCCAGAGCACCTCCTCTCCTCCTCCTCCGCTGCCCTGGGTGGCTGCAGAGTTGTTTCTCTCACGTGCCTTCGCTCCTCTCTCCTGCTGCGCTTGCTGTTGCCCAGCATTTGTTTCCCCTCCTTAAATACATTATCCCAGAGGCGCCCCCACCGCGGGTGATGCTCGGCCTTGGCCGGCACCGAGTCCCTCTGGAGTTGGCTCTGGTGTAGACAGGGGAAGGTTCTGGCAGCTTCTCACAGAAGCCACCCCTGCAAGCCCCCTGCTACCAAAACCTGGCCACACAAACCCAATACAGCCGCCTTTGGCTAGCTGGGTTCTCACTTAGTTGACCTAATTGGCCTCACTTAATTTCTTCTTTTTGCATGCTCTGCTCTAGTGCCAGAGGAGTGCCTAAACAGGACAGGTTTTGAACAGTATACATTTTCCCTTCTGTGCCAAAGCTGTGTGATTGTGCACTGTCCCACACACTTTCCTGGCCTGAAAGTGGGCTTTTTGCTCCGAGTTCCGTGTTCCCATCCTCTGACCAGAGAGTGATGTGCAGGCAAGTTCCTGGGTCCTGTGCTTATTTGGCATAGAGTCTGGCTCTGAGCAAGTGACTCAAGAAACTCTGTTCTGCCCCCAGGGTGTCTTTGACTTAAAGCCTTCCATTTAACAGAGGAGTTTTCTGTTGCTTTTTGTTCCTTCCATAGCACAGGATCCTCATTCTATCCTCTTGACAATTTCAGGATATCTATAGCATGGATTTCTCTGGGTATCGTTGAGTTAATTGGGAAAGTGAGCTGTCCAGTAGTTCGGCCCATCCGAGCCTGCTCAAAGTCAGCCGTGCAGCGCTTGGGGTGAGGAGGTTGATTTTTATTTCCGTGCACATCAGGTGGCTTTGTGAAGGATATAGGCAGATGCTGGGTGTTCCTGAGAAGTTGGTTAGTGAAACCTAACAACAATTGTTCTTGCAGGCAGGAAGTTATGTTCGTGATGATGCTGTTCCCAATCTGATTCAGCTAATAACTAATAGTGTGGAGATGCATGCCTACACTGTGCAGAGACTCTACAAAGCCATCCTTGGTGATTACTCTCAGGTAATACCAGATGTGGCCAGCTTCAGTTTCCTTGTTGTACTGCAATAAGCATGTTTACTAAGCATCTCAAGGTAAGGCAACATCAGACTGTCTAGCTCCAAGGGACAGAGTGCAGAGGAGGCATGTCTTCTGTAAGTTCTTGTTCTTTTTATTGTGTCTAATTCTCTTACAGAATTCTTGATCAAATTAAATATTCCTTTTTCTTCTGCCGTGGAGAACTTCCTTGGCTGAAAGGAGGGCTAAGCTTGCTCAGGGAAATGGTGAGGGTTTAATTTGTTATGCAGGCATTCATTTATCTCTGAGGCATCTGATTTTTCTTCTAACAGCAGCCCCTGGTGCAAGTGGCCTCTTGGTGCATAGGAGAGTATGGAGATCTTTTGGTGTCTGGTCAGTGTGAAGAGGAGGAACCAATACAGGTATAGCTTGGGAAAGAACAACTGTGTACCTACCTGGCTGAGGCTGGAGCTGCTTGATGTAAGGGGAGCGCGGCGGTTCCTTAGCACTAATGTCCATGATGGTGACAGACCCTGAGCGGGAGTGTCCTTCCCACGCTGCAGGCACGGGCTGCATAAACACTCGCTGTGAGGAGGGCAGCCACAGTTGGCGGAGCAGGCTGGTTTCAGTGCTCCAGCTTGCAGAGTATCTGCTAGGGTCTTAGCTGTGTGTTTTGATGATAAACCTGCTCTTCAATGTGTGGAGCAGGAACTGTATCTTAAAACTAGTATCGGGATCTCTAGCTAGATGTTTCTGTCTTGCACTCTGAACATAATGCTGCAGGCTCACGGAGTTGCAGCGAAGGTATGACAGGGCCATTAAGCAAGAGAGGTTTTTACAGTATGTCCTGGAAGGCTTGCTGCAAAGCTCATCTCTGTCTCAGCCTAACCTTTCGGTACCTTTTCAGGTAACGGAGGATGAAGTTCTTGATATTTTAGAGAGTGTCCTGATATCTAATATGTCTGCATCTGTTACACGAGGCTATGCTCTCACTGCCATCATGAAGCTTTCCACAAGGTTCACCTGCACTGTCAAGTGAGTTCTTATTGATGTTGTATCACACAGGACTTTGCTGCAAATACACTGATGTCAGTTGTCTTTAGTAGAAGTTTTCCTTGGACATGTTCTGCTTCTGTGGTTTACAAGAGTCACCTTGTTATTTGTTGGCTTTTACAGCCCCCCTTTGCTTGCAGGGTAGAAGACTTCACTGCTTTATACTTTTTTCTCTGTGGGTGTCTGCTACTGTGTAGGGACTTAATCCACGTTGCTGTTGCTTGAAAAATCCTCAGTGGGGAGGATAATGCCTTACTTCCAGTGGACTGTTCTTTCCAGTGTCTCCTTTGGATGATGGAGAGAAAAATAGCCTTGATTCCTACCGATGGCTTCTTGGTGTGGGTAGTTGAGCTTCCTAATGCTGTGGGGGTGGTGGGGTGTTAATCACCTGCTGACGCTGTTGTGAAGGGACAGTTCAGAAATGAGTGTTGCACAGACACTCCAGGAAACAGTGGTGACTGCTCTTTTAAATGAGTTACCCAGGACACTTGTTGAGCAGAGGCCAGGTAGTGTCTTCCGGATGACACATGCTAATCCCTTGCTTATTGCTGCTAATTCCATGGTTTGGTTTTGTTTTTTTGTTTCCCCCCTGCCCTGCACAGTCGCATTAAGAAGGTAGTTTCCATTTATGGCAGCAGCATTGATGTGGAGCTACAGCAGAGGGCAGTGGAATATAATGCACTTTTCAAGAAATATGATCACATGAGGTGAGTGCTGATGAGTTTTGGTGTTTGAAAAGGATCATTATAATCTATTCTGGTCTCCTGTGTACCACACTTTGTGCTTTGAGAGCTTTGTCTGGTGATTTTGGTAGGAATACAGAGTAATTAGAATCCCTTCCCCATCTGTGAGGCTAGTGAGTGTTTTAAGACTTTCTCTGCTAAAACATTTGCCCTGCTTTGAGCTTGAAGTTGACTAATTTTTACTTCTAGGTGTTGAATCTTAAATTTGATAGCTGAGTAAGGATCTGCAGGTAGCTTTTACCATGCCAGCATTTCCACGGTCATTAGGTTCAAACTGATTTAAAAATGTCTTTAGAATAAACATGCAGAGATCCACTGACCCGTCATCCTAAGCTGTGCTCTGAACTCAAGGTAATTCTTCCAACTGTTAATACTCTTCAGTTTTTCAGAACATCTTTTTAATTTACCATATATTCCTGTAGTATCTGTTTAAAATCTCCAATTGTGCATGCAAAGGCATACTGTTTCACTGCACCACTCAGCATCTCTATTTTACAAATCATGAGCATGTTAACCTCCTTACACCTTATCATTGAGGAGTCCCCATTCATCTTTGCTTTGCTCAAGTGATTGTTTCTTTAATGAGAAAGTTAACCCCCACTTTGTTGCAATAATTAAAGCTGTAATTCTTTGCCGAATAGTTATTAATCTATGTACAGTAGTTAATTGTTGATACATAGGAGCACCATGGATTCTCTTCAGTGAGGATAAAAAGATTGGAGGAGGTCTTCTTGGAATTAACTTCACCCTTGAAACTTTCCATAAGAATCCATTGGATGGAGGAACATCCATTTTAGGGTCTAGATGAGAGGACGGAGCAAATGGATGCCACTGGACTAAATACTGCCTATGTTTTTAGGGGCCTCCAAACCTTGTTTCTAAGGCTCTTCACAATCACTTTTTTTCCCTAGATACCATCCTATTCACTACATGTAGGATACAACATCCATGTGATTTCCTCTTTTCTCCCCTCTTGTGGGATCTATGTAGCAACTCAGTTCCTGGAGAAGTTACGTTAAAAAACGAGCTAGGGCATGTGAGCTGCTTAGGGCTTCACATGGTCTTATGAATGAGTTGAGAAAAATCTGGCTTGAGGCTTTTGATCAGAGCTGACCATTGCAGACAACATTGTCTGGCAATCAGCTGGCTTTTGGTCAGATGGCAGTGTACACTATTCACAGTTTTGGGAAGTGTTGCTCTTCAGAAAAACTTCTGTGAACTTCATTTAGTTTTACAAGAAAGCATCTGTGTTTTTTCTCCCAGTATATTCTGATGTTCATTACAGTGTAAAGGTCAGTGTTTAATAGTTTCTGCTCATTAGGACTTTGTTCATGGTCAAAAATGTGGCCCATTGTTGGGTTTATTGGCACTGGAGCACTTTTTCAGCCCAAAAGATGTGTAGGCAATGTGGCGTACTGCTAGTCCATGCAGCGCTTTGTGGCATGATCTGCAAGGGTAATGGCCTTTCTTGTATTGCAGACTAGTTCTCCCTCTGCAGGTTTTCTTAGTTTTTTGGCTTGATGTCAAGATTCTGGATCCTGTGGCACCTCTTCAGTCTCTGTATCATTTCAGGAGAGTACTCCCAAGGGCTGAACTTAATCTCTTTGGAAACTTAATTTGGCTAAATGAGAGCATGGCAATTTGCTTTTCCAACTTAGTCACCTAAGTGGTTAACCCTTCTGCGAGGAGAAGTCAGATGGGCTGACTCTGACTCAGCTGCTTATGGAACAGAGCAGTCAGGTGACCTGGGTCTGCAGTTAATCCACCATTGCTCAATTATTTAATCTTTGCCTCGGATTTGTTATCTTAGTCCCAGTGGAAACTTTGTCAAGTCCTAGGGGGAAAAAGGAGGCAGGAGGGCTTGTTTGGCTTTCAGCTGTCAACTAATGTGTTTATTCTGGCCTAGAGTGCCAGGGATTGTGACTGACCTCCTCGGGCTGTCATGCAGTCTTACAGTTCCCCTGCGTTGGAGCTGAAAGGAAAAGGCAGGTTGCCCTGTGTAAATCATCTGAATGTCTGAGTATTTGGATTGGGATCCAGGAAGATGGCACAGTGTAACTATGTCAGCTTCTTTCAGGCCAGCCCTGCTGGAGAGAATGCCAGTAATGGAGAAAGCCACCACAAATGGCCCCACTGAGATTGTACAGACCAACGGAGAGACAGAGCCAGCGGTACTGGAAACCAAACCTCCACCCTCTGGATTGCAGCCTGCTAGCCAGGTAATGGAACCTGATCCAGGATAAGTTTCCGCTGCCTGTCAGACCACACTACTAGCCCCTGCCAACAGTAAGCTGAGACCATCTCCCTCCCCCTCTCTGCTAGTTCTGGCCTGGTGATGATTGCATCACCGCTCTGGTGCCTGTAGTGTCAAGGTTGGCTGTGTGGGAGAGGTCACTGGGGGAGTGCAAGAGCAAGGTGGGGTAAAGACACATGTCCTCAAAAAGTCTCAGTGTGTGCGACCTCCATCCTTCTTTCTGTGGTCCCAGGATCTCTCCTGGGGTGTGGGACTGTAGCCAAACTAAGCACCTCTCTGGCCAGCTCTGTTGAGAGCAAGTAGAATCCGTTAGGTTTGCAGGGGAAGGTAGCAGGGAGTTGAATAATGACCACATCCACTCTTTCATTAGGCAAATGATTTGTTGGACTTGTTGGGGGGAAGTGATATAACACCTGTAATCCCCACTGCACCTACAAGCAAGCCAGCCTCTGCTGGTGGAGAGCTCCTGGACCTCCTGGGAGACCTCAACCTAACAGGTGAGCAGGCTGCTTCTCTTCAAAGTCTGCATTCTCAGTCCTGGGGTGGGATGAGGGCTGGCTAGTTCTTCACTTTCAAGTCTTGGCCTTCACACGTATTCCTACCAAGACCCACATTAGCATGCAGGTGGGAGTCAGGGAATGAAGTTGCAGGCTGGTTCTGCATGATTAGCTGTTGAGACTTGAGCCTTTTCACACTGCAACCTGGGAATGCTGTGAGCCTTTCCAGAGAACACTGGGAGATGTGAGGAATTCATTCAATTTGAATGCTTCCTAGCTCAAGAGGAGCCAGTCCTTGTTAGTTAGTGAAAGCAGAGAAGGGGAGGATAACAACACAGATGATTTGTAGAGCTTCATGTAAGGAAATAGGATATGCAGCAGTTGATCTTTGGAGAAGGAGTAATTACTCTTATTTTTATGACAGCAAAGTAATAATCCTTCAACATTTCTTGTAGGTTCTCCAGTATCTGCCCCTGCACCCCAGATAGCACAGCCTTCGTTCCTGCTTGATGGACTTCCACCACAGCCTCTCTTCAATGGTATTGCTGCAGGTTAGGGACATGTAAATCCCTAGCCTGAGGTGCCACAGCACCCAACTAAAAGAGGAAACAAGGGGTAATAAAAAGAGGGGGGGATTTGGAAATGAAGTGTGGCACAGGCACTGGAGCAGAAGGGGATGTGTTTATTCTTCAGAAGAGTTAATGTCTGGGGTAAAGTAAATGTGTGCTATAATGTTGAATGATCTCCAGATCCTGTAGGTCTCCTGCTTTTTTGTTTTCTACAGGAATCCCCTCAATTACTGCATACAACAAGAATGGGCTGAAGATTGACTTCACCTTTGAGAGGTCAAACACCAACCCCAGTGTCACTGTAATCACGATACAGGCCTCCAACAGCACAGAGCTGGATATGACAGATTTTGTTTTCCAAGCTGCAGTACCAAAGGTAGAGCCATGGAGGGCAGCTACAGTGATAGGTTGAGGGCCAGCTACACATACTTCCTGATCAGTGCTTTCATGCAGACAGAAACTTGCAGCATGGGAAACAAGGCTAAGAGATGTTCATAGGTTCTTTTAGTGCTCAGTTTGGTCACCTCTTTCCAGTCTGAAAGTAAATGTTATAAATGCAATAGAACACTGCTTCCTATCAGACTGGACTACTTCTGCTTGGACAAAATCTTGTTTCAAAATCACCACTTCCTAGGAAAGTTGCTAAACCATATGCAGAAAAATGTTGGGTCAAAAAATAAAGTTGTTACTAATCTTTCCCTTTATTCTTAGTTTCTAAGAAATATACCATGCTCTTTGCAGCTATGAATACATGAAAAAGCACAAAATATGGCAGACAGGTAGTGCCTGGTTTGTAGTAGAGCAGACTGTTTAAGCAGGGTGTGGTTGGAATGTTCTTCAAGTTTGGGAAAATACATTCGCTTCTAGAAGTTTCACTTCTAGGAATTAGTCATGCTCCAACTTTAATTCGGATAGGTTTCATACCTGCCATAGGAAGGAATTGGGGAAAGAATGGGCCTCCTGAAGTAACAGGTGTGCTGAGCAGTCTTGACTGTTCCTCTGTGTCTGACACTTGAAACAAGGCATCGCTGCTGACCTTGGTAAACTACAGTGAGCCCTCACCCCTTAGTGTTTGTGCTGCCTGGTTCTCACCTGTGTAGAAAGCAGGAGGGCCGGTGGATATTTTGTTCTCTACGGACAGGGAATTGAAGAACTTATTATATAATTTCAGGGCCAGGAACTGACTCTTAGTTTTCGTTGCTGTATCTTGGTGCGAACAAAACACTTTGTTTTTACTTGATTAAGCATCAAATTGTTTTCATCCTTTCTTCAGACATTCCAGCTGCAGCTCCTGTCTCCCAGCAGCAGTGTCATCCCTGCATTTAACTCGGGGACCATCACACAGGTCATTAAAGTCCTGAACCCACAAAAGGTGAGTGATTCCAAGAACAGTTATTAAAGATACTGTCTTGGAATCATGGATTTAGCGGCAATCGGTGAGGGATGCATCTCAGATGAGACACAGACAGTGATGGTAGCGAATTATGTGTTTTTAATGACAGTCATTTTGTTTAGAGTTAGGAAAAAGTTACGAAAAAGACAGGAGGTCCTGGGTAGAGGTTTGGCCTTCTATTTGGTTATACTGCTAAAACAGATTTGTAGCTTTGTTACCCTCTTGAATTCATGAATGGTTTTTCATTGGAATGGTGGTTAAACAAGTTTTTGGATGGCCTTTCTAGAGGAGCTCAACCTGTTGTGTATATGCATTGTAAAAGTGATGTCTTGAGAGGCAAGCATCTTCCCATATAAATACATTCAACGTTCATTCTTGCTATCTGCAGCACCATTACTTGAAATGTTTGTAACACAAAAAATGGCTTGATCCATAATCTTAACAAAATTATCTGTTTTCTCAAGTGGTGTTTTTAATGTGATGAGTGTAGTTTTAAACAGTTGATGGAAAGAACCTTTAGATGTGATTTAAATTCCATTTGTTTTACAGCCTTCAGAGACAGGCTTCGAGACTGGGATACAGCAGACTTGAGGGGAGGGAGAGGTGTGGCCCACATGGCCTCCTTAAGAGGCTTTGCAAGTATTCAGATGGCATCAGAGAGAAAACCAAAATTTCTTCCTTTGTGGGACACCCTTAAGATCTTAACCATCTTTAAGAACTTAAAATGTCTTTAAGTTTTTCATAGATTAACCTTTACTTATTGCTCTAGGTGTTAAGTGTTGCTGCCAGACTGATGCGCAAATTAGAAAAATTCTCAAATTTCATCCCAGGATTTCACAGAATGGCTGTCTTCTAGTGCATCATTTTTGTGGTTTCCATGCATCTCCCCTTATCTCAGTGTAGTGTGCTCCCTCTGCCATCATTAAGGCGCAAGACTGATTATTCTCTTGTATACATCTGATATATTTCACCTTGAAAGTTACATTCTCAGCTTGGGAGGGTTCAGGAGTTTTCCTGTAAGGTGCCAGAAGTTGCAATATATCCACCTCGGATGGGACCCACAGGTGAAATAGACCTAGATAGTGGGATCCTTTCTTGTTGGAACACCAGAACTCCTAGAACACTTCAGAATACAGGGGTGCAAAATAGTATTTTACTACCCTCTTCTCCTGCCCACTCTTTTCTCACTCTTCCACCTCAGGCATCTATGCATCCCTTGCTGTCCTTTAAACTGCTACTGCCTGACAGTTCCGCTTTGCAAGAGCCCTGTCTGTGAGATAGTGTAGTTCCCTGGAATTCTCTGAGGGAGGCAACCTTGGAACAACCTTGCTACTTAGGAGGTAGCTGTTTGTCTTGTTAGTGTTGTAAAAAAGTCTGTTCACCTGGACATGGGCTGTCATAATGCTGGATTGAAGCTGATGGACAGTTTCCCAAAACACCACCAACAAACCAATATCAAAAATGACACCCATTATGTTGATCTACTAGTGAGGCTGGTTGGAGCAGTCATTGTCCTCCTTTCCTCCCTTGACTATCCCTTTTGCATATTTCCCTGTAGGTATGGCAAGAGAGCCAGAAATAGCCAACTTTTTGCCTTTTCCTTTTAGCTTTTTTGGGAAACAAGATTTTTTGAGAGTGAGGAGAATAAGGAACCTAACTTGGAGCATGCTGTGCTCTAGCTGTTACTAAGGGCCACCTAGTAGCTGGATGGAAGCCAGATGACAGTGTAAAACAACTTCTGAGCTATTCCATCGCTTACAGCAGGAGGAAATGTTCCTAGAGACCCAGTTTCCAGTCTTTCTTAGGCCATTTCCTTCACAGTGCTACTGAGCTATGCAAGGCTTGACGTTTCCACACCACTGCCTGGGGTGAAGAGCAGGTGTGGGAGACGACACCTCCCCCTGCGAGCCCAAGTGCAGAGCAGCAGAGTCCAGATCTGCCTTCTGCTTTCTTCCATTGTTAACTGGCGTTTTAAGACAGTTATTTTTGTATTTAAGAACTTGAGTGCTTGTGATATCAGGGCCAGTGCAGAGGGATGTGGGTAGAAGCTGTGCTGTGGCTGTTCTAAGAGCTCGTACCTGATCTGAGAACTAGAGTGACCAGTCCGTGTCCTGCCAGGCTAAGCGCTGATCTGCAGTGTCACAGCTTACCCTGCACGCCCTGCTCCTGTGGTCAGGAAGGGTCCGTGTTCTGTATTCATGGGCTAAGGGAGGGGAGCTGGATGGGGCGGGATTCGCTGAGCTGTAATGAAGACCTGAATTTGTTTTGTGTTTGTTTTTTTTCCCCTCTTTTCTCTTGTAGCAACAACTACGTATGCGGATCAAGTTGACATATAATCACAAGGGCTCAGCAATGCAGGATCTAGCAGAAGTCAACAACTTCCCCCCTCAGTCTTGGCAGTGAGGCTCTGGCACCATTCTTATTCTCACCCCACCCAATCAAAAGAACTCTGGGAAGAAGGTTGTGATCCTTGGCAATCCCCCAAACTGCACCATGGGCACGGGGAACAGATGAGACCTGCTGATGAGGAGGAATTTTCCTGAAGTGATTGCTGACTTTGAAGCATATCTGTTAAGACTAATCTCCTCTCCTCCGCTGATGAGGCTGGCGGCTTGTGGAGGCTACTGTGCACTCCCTCACACATGCATTCACAGCCAGAAGCAACATTCCCTTCTCCCCTCCCCCCTGCCCCCCTGCAAAGAAACACAGCCTGGTTGGAAGAGAAGTCTGGAATTTCTAGCAGGGAAACTTTCTTCTCTCTGCAGCAAGTGAACAGCTGCCCCTTCTTTCTGCTGTCTTTTTTCCCTGGGGTGGGCAAGGCGTGTTGTCATTCATTACTAGCTGGATTCCTTCAGGCACTTTCATCTGGGGCACAGACTGGGGACTTGGGGAACATCAGGCTGCCCTTCCTCTTTCTTCTTGTATCCCCCATGTCCGAAGGGGCTGGAGGCTTCTTATGGCCTATTCAGTGCATTATTGTATACACCCACCTCTTAGTTATGTGAGACATACCAAGAGCAAGTTAGGCCTTGGGAGTTCATCTGCAAACCTGGGGCAGTGCAGGAAAAGAGGTGCTGGTGAGAGCTGATAAAATTGCTTTGGTGCTGTACTTGGAAATGAAGACCTTACACTTGAATTTTCTTTCTTTCTTTCCATCAATAGCTACAGCCATGCAGATTCACAGTGTTCTGTAGCTTCCCCAGAAAGTGTGGTGATGTATGAGAGATTTAGAGATCCAAGGAGCAGCTGGTTTTCTACCACAGATGGTTTCAAAGCCTTTTAACCCATTAGTTGTTGTTTATGGGTAGAAAAACATTCAGTTTTGTAGATCAGTCTTTGAGCAAGGATTCTGTTCCTGCTGGGAGACTAATCAGAGACTATGCTGCAAAGTTGCTCTTCCCAGTTATTCCAGACCTTCTCCCCAATTTAATTTCCAGAGCCTGTTGTAGACCCCCTAGATTCCATTTGAGTTACTTCTGACTGGGATACTTGTGTTGTAACTGTAATATTGGCACTGAAATAAAGACCATGCGGTTTAAAGAGACCTTTTCCCATTTTGTTACTTAATTGATCCTTGTAGTTTGCTCCTTGCTCCCCCTTCAGAGAAATGTGCTAGTTCAGGTTCAGACTGAAAGTAACTAAACTGTTTTTTGAATGGAAGCCAGTCGTTTGAGTATTTGAATCCAAAGCTGTGAGGCCCAGTACTATTCTAAGCGTACAGAAAGCTGTGGTCAGTTACGCTTCCTCGTGTGAGCAGCTGTCAAGGTGGTACAGCTCTGAGTTCTCATGGAGACTACACGCAGGACATAAAGCACGGTGAAACAAAACTATTTAAATGTTCAGCTCTCTTTGTTGAGGAAGAGAGGAGGATATATCTTAGGTCTTCATCCATGAGTGTGCTGGCAAGCTGACGGTACTCCAGCTTCCAACCCAGTGCTTTCTCAAAAGAAACAGATGGCACGTCTGCTTTATTTCTGTTCTAGGGCTTTCCAGATAGTGATCGTTCAGTGTTCTGGTGGGAAGCTTAGACACAGCTTTTTGTGTCTGCAAAAGTGCTCACACTAGGCTCCAGTCGTTGCCAGAAACATTGCAGGAGTGGTGCACAGTGTACTTAGGGAAAATTGAAGACCTATTCTGCCCTTGAATTGGGAGTAGGAGACCACTAAAGGTTGTTCAGTCTGCTTTGGTTTTAACTGCATTAAGTAATATAATGTAGGACTGACCGTCACTTAAGTGCTGATCTCTGTAGTGGAGTAAGTTTAGTTTCTCTTGGAGGGCATTTTTGCTGCCTTACTGATTAAGCAGGTTTGGGCCTTTGAATTAGCAAAGAGTTTTATTATTCTACTGGAACTGGTATCAGCATGGGGTAAAATCTAGAATAATGATGTATGATTTCCTTAAGTAATTCTGGTTGTGGCAGGGTGATGCCCTGACTGTCGGTGGTGAGAGAGACACTGTGCTTCAGCGAGAAGCATCATGAAGCAGGTGGTCTTGTAGGTGCTGACCTTTGTTGCTCTCACCAGTTGTGACTATTCACTACCCCACTAGCTCAGGCTCCTCGGTGTTGAAGACTGAGCACGTTGAATCTAGACTCCAGTGAGCTAACGGAAAGTCTTTGACTTAGTTCCTGAACTCCGCACAGAATGTAGATGGTCACTTGTGCTGGAAGCTGGCACGCCTTAGTCTCTGTTTGGTTTTGCTGAGAAAGAGCGCTGATGCAGGAGACCAGATGGCGAGGATTAATTAAATGGTCTCTCACCCGGCCAGTTTGTTGCAGTATAGTTGGGAACAGGTTGTCTTGTCCCTCTTGTGGCACTTGTTTTCTGTCCCCTAGAGCAGCTGGGTTTTGTTGTTGGTCTCTGTCTGGTTGGTAAGTTTGTAGGGTGAATTCCTGCTATGTTCTTGGCGCCTTCAGCCACCCTTGCACAGTGTTTGTGTCTTGGGAAATAGGCACTTTGTCATATTCTTCTGAGTCAAGCTGAAGGAGGCAGTGCACATACCTGCAATGCGTTTTGCTTGAAGCCATCCCTTGGCTGTGAAGTTCTCCTCTGTAGCAGCTGAACATTCCTGTTGTCCTTGGAGCTCATTCCCTTCCCGCCAAGGGATGGGGCGCTCACGCGCCGTCAGAAGGCGGCCAGGTTTCACATGTTCCCATATCTGCAATACTAGATACCACTGCTTGCTCCTTGACCCCTGGGTGCATCTCTTAGGCTCTGTGCTGCTGCTTTGTCTTCTCACTGGAGAGTACTCACATGTCCACATCTGAGGCGCTCGGAGGACAGGGTGAGTCTTTTTTTCCACCAATTGAATGCAACAGTTCTTACAGGTCTGGTCAACGTTTTCCTTGCTTCAGTGTAAAGGGACTATAAAGGCAGCAAGATACAGACTTCATGGCTAATCTTACTAATATCTGCATTGGAGACTTTGGAGCTGGGAGAGACTGAATGTCTGTTTTTTCAAGTGAATGTATTTTGAGTCAAAAAATGACAGAATAGTGGCCATAATAGGCCTGAAGGGGGAGGAGACATGGGAAGGTCCCAAGATTCGACTTTGTCCAGGTTTTGATGGGACAAAATATGGCCTTGAACAACCTTTTGAAGCAATAGCAGTGAGGGGGCTGCCACCTGTACAGTACCTTGGATAAATAACTCGGAAGATGCTGAAACAGCTGGGAAAGGTGACTTGGTGCCTTCCCCAAAGCTGGTACTAGCTGCAAGATGGAGCAGCAAAGATGGCTTTTTTTTTTTTTTTTTTTTTTTTTTTTTTTAGATCTGCTGGTGCGCTTTCTATGTGTTCATTTTCTACTTGGGGGCTGTGAGGGAAGAAGCTACTGGACTGCTTCCCTCTGAACTTTCACTCTACTCCTGTATATTCCTTTTTTCCCGATGTTGTAATTTACATTTTACATAGAGCCCCATCCCACCTCTTTGACAGTATGGTAAAAAAAAAACCAAACTCCCAAACAAAAAAGCCCGAAACAGAACCCCAACAAACCCAACCAAATTTGAAATAAAAACATGCCATTTGAGCAGGGAGCCTGGTGGCATTCTGACTTCTGCAGACCTATTTTTGAGATGTGAAAAATTTAAATAAATGCTGAGTCTTAGGTGAGTGAGGAGCATAACGGATGTAAACATTTACATGGGATGCATTAGACTTCTGCTGTGTGTATTGTCTTTTGGTTGAAACAAATTATGAAGTGACTAATAAAATGAGTCAATATTCAATGATTTAAAACTGCCTTGTTGCTTTTTGCTGGTACAGTGGGATATGATTTACTGATTCTTAACATTTGGCCACAGACAAGGTCAGATGATGTGAAATAATTAGGGCAGAATCTGAAAAGCTTTCCAGGAAATTTTGGGGAGCAAAATGAGTAGACAGTTAGAAAACACTTAAAAGAGTCATGTGCAGTTACCACCCTGAAAGAGCTTGACTGCAGCAGTGTGTGTCCAGGTGCTAGAAAGGTGCAATGGGATCTGAACACCAGGACTTTTTTTTTTTTTTTTCCCCCTGGTGTCTGCAGCCTGCCCTCGGTTGATTCCCTTGCTGATTAAAAAGCCCCTTTCATGCTCCGTGTGTCTCTGGGATAAGGACTGCTGTGATTTCATTGTCCGTTAAAGCAACCACCACATGGGCCTGCTGGAAGCTGGTTCTTTGTGTTTCCTAGTCACAGTAACATTAGATAACTTCTCATGAGTTTTCTAACACATAACTATGTGCAGAGCACAATCTCCTCTGTATTGATATGGCCTTCATTTATGGAAATTCTCTTGAAGCAAAGTAGTTACAGAACTATGAAGCTGTAGCTAGAGATGCGTTGTAATCGTGCATTTCTGTAGAGAAAATGCAACAAAAATGTGATTTAAAGCCTTGTCATCCTGTGTGTGTAGTCTGGAAGTGTGAAGGACTAGGTGGCCTTTTCTGTGATTGCCTTGGTTTAATTACATGAATTAATACGAAATGCTGGGGAGCAGTTTAACCTTGCTGATGAGATGGGTTGTCTGTCAGTTCCTTGGTTTTTAAATAGAAGAGCTCGTCAGATTCTGGACAGTTCAGAAACTGCTGGTTTATGTGGCAGCGAGCAGTCAGTCATCTCGGGCCCGGTTCTGGAGCACGCAGAGCCCGGGCCAGCGGGTCCTGGGCCCCCTCGCGCGGGGCTGAAGCGCAGGAAGGCAGGCAACGCTTAAAGGAAACATGTAACAACGCAAAACGTTCGGTGCCATAAAGCAATACCAACGGTGAGAACTTGGAAAGCTCGTCGGGACTCAACTCTCAACTCCGCGTCGCAGGAGCGGCGGGGCTCTCCGGGCTCGTCAGTTTAGTTAAATACACTGTAAGAGGACAGATGGACACTCAGATATAGCCATTGAGGCAGCTGAAAATCTCCCCATTTATTGCTTGAAGAATTTATAAGGAAATTGGCTTGCTTTGGACCCTAACAC